AGAGCAGCTCCCTGCATCTGCAACTGCCAGGTCTTATCAAGGTAAATGCTCTGTTTAGCATCATTGTGGTCCTGATCCGCAGATTTAGATTTCTGCAGATGGGGGCCACATGTTGCTATTAGATATATAGGTAATGATGACACTTCTAGTTCCCCAGTACACCTACATGCACTATTAGGTATTCCAGGCCCAGGCCCATGGTCCCTGCTAGCTATTTAGGAAGAGGAGAACATCGCTGACTGTCATGGCCCTCCCCAGTGCTCTAGAAATCCCCCCTAACTCTGTGGTAAACCTCAGCCTCCCCCATTAAAAACATGCACATGTGGCAGGCTAACCAAAACCAACATGCAGTTCCTCTGATGGAGTGGCATTTGTGGAAGAGTGATGATTTCCATCAATTACTTCTTCCACCTACAGACCCTAATTTTGTCTCATGTTGTTGTTGTTGTTGTTGTTGTTTTGAAGTATAAATTTTATTAAGATTTGTATAATAAACATCAAGCCTCATGTTGTTCTTGATGGTTCACTGACTCCCAGGAATGAAATTTCAGGGTCCTGCAGCAGGAAGAGGTGAGTGGGAAAGTCTTGCTCCATCAAGTTCCTGTATGGCTGCGTACACACAAATACATTTACAAGGCATGGTTGGAAGATAAGCACTATACGATAAGCAGTATAGTCATGTAAGCAGAAAGATCTATTTATGTCTTACTGGTTTTCCTGTTCTGTAATGAAAATAACATTTGATCAGTTTTGGTGTTATATCCATGAAGAGGATCTTGTATATTGCAATGAAAATAAGAAACATTACATGGCTCTATCATTAAGGAACTCTTTCATGCTATTGAGTCATTATAACCACTTGCACTGTGGCTATGCTTTCATCATAAGGAAAAAGGAAGGTGTACTGCTTATGATATTAAAACTGCTTCAGTAGACATTTTCATCAGGTGTGTTATCTGTGTCCAGTATTCTTTGTATGGTTTTCTTCTGTGTTACCTAAAATATAGGTCTATATGTTAACTTTTCCTTGGAAGTGCTTATTGATACCTTTTGTTCAAAATACAGCTTTTTGCTTTGTTTTTCCTTCTGTGATGCTAAGCAAACAGTTATGTTATAGTACTCAGCATCACTTATTTTTTATTGTCTTATCTGTGAAGCTCTGAATCATATTTCATTGTCGTTTGCAATATATTTGGACTGCGGATTTAAGGCACTCTAAATTCTCATAAATTTGGATGGAGGGAGAGGAGACATACTGCTTTTAGTCCACATAATACCCACAATCCAGTGCACAGTTAAAGATGCTTATGACAGACTGTGTCCGATGTCTTCCGGTTTTCCCTGTTGCCCAGAGTCAATTAGAGGGAAATAGATGGGGATGAAGGGGAAACAAGGAATTAAACTAGTTATAAATTTTCTAGGACTGTTATGGTCTTTTCTTTGTAAAATTTCACAACCCTCGTTGGATTTAATATTGTGCCTCTCTTATAAAAAAATAAATAAAATGTAGACTGGATTACATGCCAGTGAAACAGCAGCCTGGCAGGTGTTGGTCTGAAGCAGCAGAACAAAGTTTGTGTCCAGTGGTACCTTTAAGACCAACAAAGTTATATTCTGGGTATAAGTTTTCATGTGCACACACACTTCTTCAGAGACATTGAAACAGAAGTCACCAGCCATTAGATGAAGGTAAAGGGTGAGGAGGGGGACAATTTGTTCCTTCAGATCAATGGTACAGCCATGGGTACCCACATGGCTCACAGTATGCTAACATCTACATGGTCGACCTGGAGCAGTGCTTCCTAAATTCCTACCCACTCACACCTCTCTTATGCCTGGTATACACTGATGATATCTGCCTGGACACATGGTAAAGAAGCCCTGGACAAATTCCACCAGACATTCAATGAGTTTCACCCCACCATTGACCTGAGAATGAATCAATAATCACAAAACTGAGAAACCTGTAGGAGAACACTTCAGCTTCCCAGGACTTTCAATGGGGGACCTCAAGGTAGCTGATTTATTGCAAAGGAACTTCAGAAACAATCTAGAATGGGAGATTGCTGAGTTACAAGTTATTACAACACAGAGATTATCTCACTACTCATGTTAATGTCATTCAGTTCTCGCATCTGTTGTAAACTCCTTTATTATGCTGTATGCTAATTTGCTGCTGTTCACAGGTCTTACCATTACCAATCGCCTTCATACAGTCTTAGCTGCTCAGTTACTTATGCATCTTTAATTGGCCCTTCCTGGCAACACCCTCCTTCCCTCTACCTCAGGGGTATCGAACTCATTTTTATGAGGGCCGGATCTGACATAAATGAGACCTTGCTGGGCCGGGCCATGTGGGTCATAAAATGTAATGCCAGGTAGCAGAGATATAAACTTTGTAAAGGACACAAACCCAAAGGGTTTTTGTTACTTAAAATAAAAACATGCTTAAAACATCAGCACTCTTGCAATATTTTGTTTATTTAACAGTGTCTGATAAGTGACACCTCTTGCTCTGAATTATTGCATCAAAATGTCTGTGCTGGTGCAATCTTGAGTATGCTGTTCAGGTGTGTATCTGTAAGCTGCAACCCTACGATGACACAGCAGCAGCAGAACTGGAAGAAGCAGCAGAAGACAGCCAGTTCCACTGCGGGCCTGATAGAAGCCCTCTGGGGGCCTGATCCAGTCCCCGGGCTGCATGTTTGACACCCCTGCTCTACTTATATGTAATGATTGGTGATTTCTGTTTCAGTGTATCTGAAGAAATATGCATGCATATGAAAGCTTATACCCAGAATAAATCTTTGTTGGTCTTAAAGGTGCCACTGGACTCAAACTTTGTTCAATAGCCTGGACTGTCAGCTAGAGGAGTAACTTGATGAAAGTGATCCGTAATATGCAGTTTCTGGAAAGATGTATAGGACATTGTAGTAGGGAAGAAGTTAGAATGGTATGGTTGGAATGTTAAATCCTCACTAGTACTAGTGGCATGATCATAGTCTAACTGAACATAGCAGAAAACGATGTAATCTTTTGTAAAAATAAACGAGCTGGCACTACAAGAATGTTTTGTGCCCTTGTTTGAGCTACTATACTTTCAAAAAACTTTCTTCCTATTTTTTTTTCATTTCTCCTTCCCTCATATTAGATCAAGATGGGTAGCCACATCAGTTTGTCTGTAGCAGTAGAAAAGAGTAGGAGCCCAGTAGTACCTTAAAGACTAACAAAATATGTGGTGTATGGTATGAGCTTTCTGAAGAACTGAGCAGTGATTCATGAAAGCTCATAGTTTACCACAAATTTTGTTAGCCTTATATAGGTGTTCTTTTTGCTTCCTTACTTAAAATTTAGTGTATGTGTGTAAAGAGAGTAGAAATGATGAGGGAGGAGGAGGAAGATGAGAAAATGATGTGAAAGAGTATTGCATTGTTATTTATTGGTCATTCTTAATGAAATGTTGATTATAGTTTTGTATTATGGACATGGGCTTGGAACCTAAGTTGCCATTACATCAGTATTGCAGAAGTCCCACCAACAGAATGGGATTTCTGTAGATGGAAGATGGGAGAGCGATTTCTGCCAATTCCACCCCCTCTACTGCAGACCTCCACTTTGTCCCTCAACACTAATTCTAGGGGTTTACTGACCCACAGGAGCACAGAAGGCTTCTTTTGGGGTGCGAGTTGCCTTCCTGTAGTGACTTTGTTTATGCTGCTTAGGATCCAAGCAATTATTCTTAAAGATTTCTCTTCATTAAAAACAGAATTTTAGTTTTTATAATTTAGTATGTAAAAGTATGTTGCGTTTTACAGAGGACTATTTTGTACTCTTTCTTAACAGTTTATCACTTTTTAACAGGTATGTCAACATTTAGAAACAATTAGCAATATAGTAGCAATATGCTATAGCATAACATTGTTTAGATGTATTGTTATAGCTAAGGGGTCTAGATATCTGTGTTAACATTAAAATGTTGCTAAAACAAAGCTTTTTAGGAAAGTGAAGAAAATAAAAATAAATCATGCAACGTTCAAATAGAATATTGCTTGAGTAGGACAGAACAACAGAATGACAGCTGCGTGATGAAGCCTGAAAAACCTCTGTAGCATAACTGTTGTTGTTGAATAAATACAATTAAATATTTAAATTAATTAACATAAACTGCCTATCAATTTTTTTTCGGTTTCTTTGGGTAACCAGATGTCTTGAGGCTGTCCTCTTTTTCTAATGTATCATTGCTGACATGCTCAAGTGAAACTAACAGTGGTTAGAAACTATATTCCATGTGGCATAATTACAACTCTGCAGATTTCTAAACCCCTGCTTATTTTAGTTCATATGTATTATTATAGCTGTTAGAAAACAAGTAATCACTTTGTTTGAACATAGTGTGAGAGTCACTTTTTAGAAGACCTCTATTTTCTAGATTAGTAATAAAAATTATATAGTTTCCAAAAGAGTTCTTGCATTTAGATTTTTAGATAACATCAAGAAAACAAAATGTATTGTTGTGCCTTCTTAATCTGGGATGAACCTTTTTAAGCAACAGCCTTCTTCATCTGACTTTCTATATTCTAGTGATTCAAACTTTTCTAAATGATTAATCTAAGAACACAGCTTTATCCCGTGAAACTAAGCACTTCCTTGAAATAAACACTGTTTAAATAACTGGAACACTTCCAAGGAACTCAGCCTCAATTTCCCCCCTTGTTCATAACATTTCTAGCATTCTAACCCTACAGTCCATGCTCTCATTCCTTTTTTGTGATGTTTTGTACATGTGAAGAAAAAAATACCTACTGTATCTTCTATCCTGACTGCATATATGCAGTCTTACTCGTGTCCTTCATTCTTCCGAATTTCCACTTTTTCTAGAAAATATTTAAGTGAGTCAAAATGTATAACGATAGGATGATCAAAAATGCAAAGTCTATGATATCTTTGTCTGTCCTTTCTTTCACCTTTACTGCACTATCTTGTCTGTCTAATTCTCACAGGAGACATGGATTACAACTGGGACCATACGTCTTGGCATAGCAGTGAGGCATCCCCAATGTCTTTGGTGAGACATGTGGAGCCTTACCATTCAGTTTCCTTTACCATTTCATGGTTCCTTTGTTTTATTTACATCTTTGCATGTGTTCTTTTTTTGTATCCTTTTTATCCCACACCTGTAGGGGACAATCAAAGGGGAAAAAGAAAAACTAGTGAGCAGGCAGTTTTGTCGGACTCTAACACCTTATCTGAAAGACAAAAGAAAATGGTGTGCTTTGGTGGCCACTCTTTGGAAGAGGACTTGGAATGGTCTGAGCCTCAGATTAAAGATTCTGGGGTAGATACGTGTAGTAGCACAACTCTAAATGAGGAGCATAGCCATATTGAAAAGGTACTGACTTTGTGGTGCCTGCATTTTAATCTGCTCATTTGGTCTTTGTTTTCTCTCTGTCACTCATTAAAACAGATTGATACTAAAAAGACAGTTGTAATGTAATGTTTCCCAAGGTGCAGAAAAGAAAAACAAAACCACAACCACTGGATTGTTCTGCTGTTTTTACATTTGGAAGCATAAAGAGGAAACATTATTTAGGTGCTAAAAAGAAGCATCACTTATAACATTTGGTGATGTCACCTTAACCCATAAAGTGGTTAAACAATGAGATCATTTCTGAATTGGCATATCTGATTAATTGTATAATATTCCTGGGTTGGAATTAAATAGTTTAATTCCCAGGTTGAAAAGGGGAGAGAAAATTATATCTGTTTGCACAGAAACATTGTTTTTCTTTTTTCCCTTCATTACCATGTTTGTTCATTTGTTTTGTTGCCATGTTCTTTTTGTGCGTTTTGGGGTAATATTGTCTTTGACATCTGCTTTGGGTGTTTATTGTTGTTGTTTGTTTTAGTGCTGTTAGACCTAATGAGGGAGATTTTTTGCATGCTAACTTTGCATGTGTGAGGGCATGCAATTGGTATACAGATGTAAAAAGATGCTATGATTACACAAAACCAAAAGTGACTTTAATAGATTTTTTTTCAGTTCTGACGTGTTAGTTGTATTGGTGGTACGTATAACCCTGCTCGTTACATTCAATGTTCCCTCTAAGCTGTGGGGTCTTGTGAGCAAAAATTCTACTTTGTGAGCTACTGGCATTAAAGTTGTGAACGAGCGATTCGGCTACTGCATAGATTAGTTTACTCTGGAGCCATCCTTCCTGAGCTGAGATAAAAATCTGTGAGCCTCAGCTTAGAGGGAACACTGGTTACATTATGTGATAAATATTGAATAATCAGGTATAGCTGTATGCTATATATATATTGCTACACTGCTATGTAAATGAAATATTATCTACAATTAAATTGATCTTAGATTGTGAATTTAGTTTCCTATAGCTGGAAACAAATTCTGCTAAAATTGCTGGGTCTTTCCAAGTAAGCATGCCTTCACTGAAGGTGTTACTGTCCAAATTTCTGTCGGGCTGTAACTGAAGATCATGTCTCATAGCACCATCCTAAGCAGAGCTGAACTCTTCTAAGGCCATTGACTTTAATGGACTTAGAACAGTGTACCTCTATTTAGGATAGCACAGTTGTGTTATGGTTAAATTCAGCCAGTACTTTTAACATGATGAGTGTTACGTTTGTATCTCTCTTCAAGTACAAATAATTATGGAGTAGAACAGACATAATTGGTTTTTGGTGTATAGATAAATTCAGAACTAACAGAGTAATCCTAAATGGACTTACATCCTTCTAAACTGATTGACTTCAATTGCTTTAGAAGGAAATATATCTGCTTAGAGCTGCTTAGATTTAGAAGGAAATATATCTGCTTAGACTGTTTGTCATTCAGGAAGATGTGAGAAGTGACCTGGTGACCTAGGCAGTTGATATCAATCTTAATTTCTGCAATTGTATAAAGCCTGTAGTGGTGTAATCATAGCAATTTCACAATGTTTAAAACTTGAAGTTGGAAATAAAGTTGATGTTGTTTATAGACTGAACTTTTCCTGGGTTTTTCCCCTTTAATCATAATACTGTAGCATCCTGTGACATGGCAGCCATCCAAAGATGGAGACCGTTTAATTGGCCGGATTTTGTTAAATAAACGGCTAAAAGATGGAAGTGTGCCTAGAGACTCAGGAGCAATGCTTGGACTGAAGGTTAGTAATTCAGTTTTTAGTATATATATATTTTTTCCCCTATTAATCCTGGTAATTGAAAATGCAACCCAGAAGATTGATCTGTATATCAGCTTTTTGTATAAAACCGTTAAAATTATTATTTTCAGATTGTAAATAATAGCTTGGTTCAGATGTAACACAAAACTATGGTTTATTTTGACTGTAGTTAGTTTGTGAAACTAAGGCTGTGGTCACATGGGCAAAAAGATCCAGTGTGGCCCCAGTTCTAAGAAATCCAGGGGGTTTTATAATGAGAGAGTTTGATCAGACTGGCCCCTTTAACCCGCCTCACCGCATGTTCATTCCTTGTATGATTGTTTAGATGCAAAACCAGGAAGCTGGGCAGTCTGGCAGCTTTTTAAAAAATCATTACTCCACTGAGCATGCTCAGAGGCACTTAATGGAATTAGGGCTTCAAACTCCTGGCAGAATGGTGGCAGCTGGTGGCCAGTGGGATTGCTGGAGGAGGCTGCTGGGAAATGGAGTCCAGTGGGACGACAGTGTTTTTGAAACTGTGCTTCTGAGAAATTCCACATTTGAAATGTTTAAAAGTGGTGGTGGTGGGGAGAGAACAGAGAAGCTTCATCCCGTGTCCTGTGTCTGCTGGTGTTTTTATTTAAATGCTTGGAGCAAAGCTGGAGTTTGAGGGTTTGTTCTCAGACTCCCTCCCCCTCTTTTCTTCCTTCTCTGAAAAAAAACCCTCATAGTCAATTAACCCCTTCCATTCTCTGTGTGCTGCAAAGCTGTAGGCAGGAGAGCGCTGAAATACATGAGTGGTGATCCAGGCATGCGCAAATCACTGACTGTTTTTTAAAAAATTGCAAAAAGTGCAAGGAAAACATTTAGATGTCCTAATCAGCTTCAAATCACTAGGAGGCAGTCCAGACAGTCAGAAATGTGGGGTGAAGCAGGGAACAACCATTAGATACCCAATTTTCCTGGTTCTGAGAAATCCGCAATGGAAGAGGGTTGATTGCGGGAGGGGACAAGTTCAAGATGTGAGACAGATGTGTCCCGTCTGATCATCCCTTTTACATCTGTTAGGAAATTAGGATGAAACCTGCTCAAAATGCCTATGTCATCACAGCCTAGGATTCCTCTTAGGGATGATAATTCAAACCTGGTTTGGTTTGACAAATACTGGTTACAGCTTCTCTGTCCTTCTGTTTAAAAACAACCACAACTGCTATCTCAGCCTGTATAGAAACATCATCTGAAGGGTAAAGGTTTCCTGGGTCACCAACTGCACATAATTGCATCGCAGGTCATTTATGATTGCTGTTGATGTTGTTTACCTGGACTTCAGTAAAGCTTTTGACAGGGTTCCCCAGTGGTATTCTGATGAGTAAACTAGAGGATGATGGACTGGACTCTAGGATAGTTAGGTGGATAGAGAACTGGAGAACTGCACTCAAAGACTAGTTGTCAATAGCATTTCATCTAAATGGAGGGAGGTGTCCAGTGGGGTGCCACAAGGCTCAGTTCTGGGCCTGGTACTTTTCAGTATTTTTATAAATAATCTGGATGGGGGTATGGAGGGGCTACTCATTAAATATGTAGATGACACCAAATTGAGAGGAACAGCGAATGCACGAGAAGATATGGAATTCTATGAGATCTGAACACACTGGAAAAATGGACGGATGTGAACAAGATGCAGTTTAACAAGGATAACTGCTGAGTTCTACATCTGGATAACAAAAAAGAGGAACATGCATACTGGATGGGGGATACACTTCTGGGCAGCAGTGTGTGTGAACAAGATCTTGGGGTATGGGCAGATTGTAAGTTAAATATGAGCAGCCAATGTGATGCACTGACAAAAAAAGACTAGTGCAATCCTGGGGTGTATCAACAGAGGCATAACATCCAAATCATAAGATCTTATAGCCTCAGGCCTGTAACCAGGATTTTTTAATTTGGGGGGCATTTAAATGTCAGGGGGCACCCCGCACAGACACCCCCACAACCCCCCAAGGGAGCATCACAAATAAAAAATTGGCAGTCAGGGGGCCTTGGTAATAAGTGGGGGGGCAGGCCCCGAGGTGCCTCACTGTAGCTACAGGCCTGTATAGCCTCGCTGTACACTGCATTGGTCAGGCTGCACCTGGAGTATTGTGTGGAGTTCTGGAGGCCTCGCTTCAAAAAAGATGTGGACAGAATGGAGCAGGAGGAGAGCAATGAGGATGATCAGGGGCCTGGAGACCAAGCCCTATAAGGAAAGATTGCAGGACTTGGGAATGTTAAGTCTGTAGAAGAGGAAGCTGAGGGGGGACATGATTTCTCTCTTTAAGTATCTGAAGGGCTGTTACTTAGAAGGGGGCAGGGAGCTGTTCTTGTTGGCAGCAGATGATTGGACTCACACTAATGGGTTTAAATTAAGGGCCGAAAGGTACTGGCTGGATATTAGGGAAAACCTTTTTACAGCAAGAGTTGTTCAACAGTGGAATCAGCTGCCTAGGGAGATGCTAAGCTCCCCCTCACTAGCAGTCTTTCAGCAGTGGCTGGACAAACACTCTAGACTGATCCTGCATTGAGCAGGGGGTTGGACTAGATGGCCTGTATGGTTCCTTCCAACTCTGTGATTCTATGGTTAGAGATGCTGTGAGGGTAAAGAACCTGAAATCTGTCAGTGCAGAAACCAGCCAATGGTTTACAGCCTCTTAACTTCCTAGCTTTTCAGACTAACCTTTCCCTTACAGCAGATCATAAAAATACAATCACACAGGTATGCAGCTTCACTCAGACTTCCAATTGTCTGACAGATACCCCTCCCAAGTCTCATCCCACAATTGACATCATTATTCCACATTCTGGTGCTGGAATTAACATTACATTACACTCAAGGTTGCCACCATGGACCCTTGGATAAAAATTCTACCATAGGACCCTGATCCAAATCAAATATTGTAAGAAACAAATAACTTAGCTGGCTGTTACCACACATTGAGGGAGTTCCAGAACCAAAAATAAAAGAAATCAGAATATCTTGGCCCAGATTATATCCAGGCTGCCACCTCCCCCCCCACCCCGGTGCTATTTGTAGTGAAAGATAGGCTAAGTTCTAACTTCTGTTCCTCATTTATAACCACTAAGGCAAATTAACATCATGCATATAACAGATGGAATGGGGAAAACATCCTTTTACTACTTTGATAGATCATGGGAATATATTAACTCTCCTCTCTGTTAATAAAATTAACAAAGGTTTGCTGCTATATTGCTGTTAGATATGTTCTAATTTGCCAACCATAATGAATGAAAAGGAGTTGGGATTAAGAGCAAAAAACAGGGAGGGGTGGGAATTAAAAGTGGAGAGAAAGGAATGAATGCATATCATGAAAGGAAGAAAGCAAAATGAAGGAAGGGAAAAATGTGGAAAAGAGGAAGACAAATTAAGGAAAAGACAACAAAGGTTTTTTTATGTGGCTACAACACACTAACAGGGCTGCTCCTTTGCACAATCTGGCTGTACAGACAAAACTATGGAGCTGGGTGGAACTAAAGGAAGAGGGAAACCATAGACCGCTGTAGAAAATGACCTTATTAGGGGGCTGTAACCTGGCAATGACTGTAGCAGCCATGAGCTGTGCTGGCTGGTCTTGCCTTGCTCGAGTGCGGGGGTGCTGGCTTGGTTGATGGGTTTTGCAACATCTGATAGGCAAGGCAAGGGTTTGCCCCAGTCTAGTACAGGGATCCCCAATGGCGCCCACTGTCCTGGCTTCCCCCGGGACTCCCGCCAGGAGAAAGGGGAGATGGGGGGCTGGGGGCACAGCACCCCCCCCACACACACCACACTTACCAGCGGAGCAGTGTCCAAGAAACTGGCGCAGTGGATACCGAAAGAGGAGATGAGCCCTGGCCTGCAGCAGCAGGAGAGCTCGTCCAAACGGTGGCTGAGCAATGGTGGAGCCCAAGGGTGGGCCCGGGCCCGAGAATGCTGGCAGCAGTAGGGATCTGAGGGCGGCTCGGTGGCAGGCCCAGGCAGCTCAGGGCCGCAGCAAGCCGAAGAGCAGGGGAGGGGAGCACAGGGGGGGCTGCAGCGCGGGCTCGGCGGCATGCCTGGCAGGCGCACAGAGCAGGGCGGGGGAAGGTGAGGGTCCTCCTCTTTGAAGGGAGGCGGGGCCAGAGGCTGGGGAAGGCGCACAGAGCAGGGCGGGGGAAGGCGAGGGTCCTCCTCTTTGAAGGGAGGCGGGGCCAGAGGCTGACTGGGAGCATAAAAAGAAGCTGGGGGAGGCCAGTGAGGTGGCGGGAGCATGATAGAAGGAGAGAGAGAGAAGAGGCAAGAGTAGAGTGTGAGACCCGAGGGGCAGGAAGGTGCCACAACAAAAAAACCGAGCTGAGGCCCCCCATTCCAGCTCCTTTAGCGAACCCTTGGCCTCCGAACCCCCCCCTTTTCCAAGTCCACCAGAGAGGGGCGAAATAATGGTAACGCCATGGCCACAGGCGGACAGCTCCCCCCGCCCACGGAACATTGTGACACCCACCAAAACCCTTCGCCAAATGTTTTCAGAAAGTGGGTGGAGGCTGATGGGGCTTTGCCCAGCACAGATTCTGATAGGCCATTGGAGATCTCATTGGATGGACAGATTAAAAGGCATCCTGTTAAACAGAACTTCTGCCTGAAATGCTGAAGAGGCACTGTTAGTTTTATATATAACTATGCTCCTTGACATTTTGTAGTTGGTTCCGCTTCCTCCAACAGCCATTTTATGATTGGCTGTACCTCCTGTCGCAGCCATTTTGTGATTGTGCCCATTGCCCTATGTCAGAATTCCAAGGTGCCCACAGGCTCAAAAAGGTTGAGAATTAGTAATAAACTTTGCAGAAGGGCACTTGTGCTTTTGCCTTGGCTCTAAGATGCCTCTTTGTCAATGCTTATCTTAAAGATGCAGGACTGCTAGCATGTTCCATTCCATTTAATAGAGGCTTCAAAGGCAAAGTGATGGCACAGAAGGAAGGTCTTTAGGGCAACAAAATGCCTTGAACAGTCCCTGTATTGGGCCATGCCAGCATTCCTGCACCTTTAAAATAGGCACTTATAAGGAGACTGTTAGCAGTCATCATTTCAACTATATTGCTTGTTTATGAATTCATACAAATTGGTGGCAACCCAGTCCAGAAATATATGATGCCCATATACAACAAAGGTCTTCAAGGCACAAATTGTTATTTCAGTAGAGGGAGTCCAACAGTCACATGCAAAGGAATGCATGTGGAAAGCATTGAAGGCTTGGGTGATTTTTGCATTTTTAGAACTTTGGTATATTGAACAGATTGCTGGACTGGGTCAATTTGTTTTGTGGAACCCAGAGATCTTCAGAACACTACTCTAGAAAATTCTAATGAGGACTCAGTAACATTGACTGGCCTGTTTTCGGTACAGGGAAATTTTTCACATAGCATTTTTCGTAGTATGTGTGTTACACTTTAGTATGTTTGGCCTTTTGACGATTTCTGATTTGAAAAAGCACTTGTACCCTTTAAAAATATTGATGTTATTTTTCTTTTTCTAACAGGTTGTAGGAGGAAAAATGACTGAATCAGGCCGGCTCTGTGCATTTATCACCAAAGTTAAAAAAGGAAGTTTAGCTGATACAGTGGGACACCTTAGGCCAGGTATGAGAGAAATATTAGTTGAGTTCTCTAAGTGGGAAGGACAAGTTTGTTTCAGTGAGTGAATTAAATGAAATTATTCATGTATGAGCTTTTGAGAACACTGCAAGTTCAAAGCAAAGCTTAGGTTCTTTTGCAGACATTGAGATTATCCATCAAACAAGCAGTCTCACTAGTTTACATTTTGGAGTGTTGTGAATTCCCTCCCCTCGACATAAGATTTAAACCTCAGATTTATCTATTACATTATAAGAGTTAGAATGAGAAATCTACAGTGCAATCCCAAACAGAGTTACACCTTTTCTAAGACCATAGACTTCAATACAATTTGAATAATGTAATTCTGTTAAGATGACTCTGTCAGTCTTCCAGCAGTTAATGGAGTGCTAACAAAGACTTGTTATAAAGCAGCTCTATTTGCCTTTATAAACTACATGGTTGCAGTACCAATTACCATCCTTTGCTCAGTGGCTGTGGATTCACATATAGATCACTTTCGTGCACATGTGTTCTTCATTTTCTGGATGAGATCTGTTTTCAGAGGTTATTTTGAGATTCTGTGACCAGACAGGGAACAAGAATATAAGAAAAACCAGTACCCAGAAAGGAACTTATATAGATTTCACATTGTAATTAATGGGAAATGCCCCCTTTTGGGGATATAATTTTTAAATTAAATTATACAGAATGTAATTGTGATTAATTAAATGTCCAACAAATTAATCATGCTCAGGAAAGATGTGTTTTAATATACATAATCCTAAAGGTTTTTGAATGGTTTATGGCTGTAACAAGTAACTTTTAACTGAAGTGACAAAGCTTGTCAAAATCAGCCAAATCAGATACCACCCTCTTGTATTCACCCTGTCCTACCTACAACAGCTCTACCTCCTGCCTTTCCTTCCTGAAAATGACAAAGGGAAAAATAGGTAATTTCTATATAGAATTCAAGCTGCCAAGCATAGAAGTAGGGTGAAGGAGCAAGATGCCTCTTCCTTAATTGCCACAGAAGAAGGGGATTTTGGGTTAAGCAAAATGAGGGAGTTCAAAAGTGTCAGTGTCATTGGAAACATGGGTTTCTAAATTTCATGAGTATATTCGGGGGGAAAAAGTGGGCAACTGGATAGCTTGGTTTGTGGAACCCAGTTACAAATTGAGATGGGTGGTGGTGATTTTTCATATCATTATTTTTTAAAAAAACAAAACAGGAACAGTTGAGAAAGAAGGGGGGAGGGAAACTATTCTCAGTTAATTAAGCTTGTTTCTTTATTTAAACCTCACATTTTCTTGGAAGCCATTCTTGATGTTTTTGATTTAACTCTTAAGTGCATGTTGCATGGGAACCAAATAAACCTTTTTTATGTACAAAGTGCTTAGGTTCAGTTACATTTTTCTGAAATACAGAATTTATCCCACAGGAAATCCGGTTGTGGAGAGGATCTCCCACGTTTTTTAAATTCAGCAATATAGTTAAACTTCTTCCTTCTCAAAGTGGTTTTTTAAAGGTTTTAACCTATTTTTTTTTACCTGAATGCCCTTCTAATGTCAACAGAATACCATCATCTTGTATTAATATCTATGCTCTTAGCACTTATGATCTTATATACTGTGATTTTAACTGTATTTTGTGTTTTAATATACTTTGGTGTTTTAACATATACACATATATATATCCTGTAAGGTGCCCTGAGCCTGCCACGGCGGGGAGGGCAGGATACAAATTTAATAAATAAAAATTAAATTAAACCATGCTCTTAGTTTGATTGGCTAGTCACAAAGCACCTACTGGTATCTTCTGATAATCGCTATCTAATATGAAATCTGCCTGAAGGCATTTATTTTTGGAACCTGTTAATTCAGTCTTTTTTAAATTAATTCATTCTTTTGAATTCATTTGCAACATTTCTAGAATATGAAAGAAAATGCAAAAGGAAACCAACACAGTAGCTGTTCTGCTTTCAGAATATTCTGTTAATTTGAGCTTTGTCTCTTATCTTTCATTATAGACATTTTCTGTAAAGTTAAATATTATTTTACAGGAATTCTCTAATTTAAGTAGCACTATGTTTATTATTGGTTACTGTTATAAAAATAATTTCTAGATTTAAATGTATAACTTTTCTAGATTTAAAAAAGGCTAAATTTATATTAGTGATGTGGAATGGTATAGTATAATCCGATTTTGTCAGATCTTTGAATCTAAGCAGGTTTAGTACTTGGATGGGAGACCACAAAGGAAGAATTTGCTGAGGAAGGCAATGGCAAATCACCTCTGCTTAATCACTTGTCTTGAAAACCGTACAGAGTCAACTTAAGTCAGCTGTGACTTGATGACACTTTACACATGCACAACTTTATATTAGTTGTGCAATCTAGGAAGAAGGCTAGCTAAAACACAGTTTGTGGGGCTGATTTTGCTTCCTAACCAGACTGCTATGTCTATTGTCACAGGTGATGAAGTATTAGAATGGAATGGAAGGCTTTTGCAAGGAGCCACCTTTGAAGAAGTGTACAATATTATTCTAGAATCTAAACCAGAGCCACAAGTGGAACTTGTAGTCTCAAGGCCAATTGGGTGAGTTATTGTAAGAGTTTCCTTGCCTGAATGGCTTAAAATAAGCATAGTCTGCTTTTAAACAGAAAACTTCTAATAGTTGCATGTTGCACCCAGTTTTCTTACCTCAGCTGCCTCTTTTCTCTTCACATTGATTCATTTCTCATTGTCCCACATGACATCCCCAAATGTGAGGGAGGTTTTATTAATTTTACTCACTATATCAAGAACTTGGAAGATTCACATGCTAAATCCACCTTTTGATCTGAAGACTTCAATTCCAAAAAAAAATTGGAGGAGGGACAAATAGTCCTTTGACTGATTTCATAGGCATGTCTAGAATTATACCCAAAATTCAGATTGACTTTTTCCACTGATAGTAGGGTTGCCAATCCCCAGTTGGGGGTGGGGGATCCTCCAGTTTGGAGCCACTCTCCCTGCTTCAGGGCTGTCAGAAAGTGGGGGGAGAAATGGGCTCTGGACACTCCATTATACCCTATGTAGACTGGTCCCCATAGGGGATAATGGAGAATCGATATGTGGGTATCAGGGGTGGGCTCTGGGGTGGGCTGTTTCTTGAGGTAGAGGCACTAAATTTTCAGCATAACTGCTGATGCCTCTTCTAAAAAGAAAAACCTCCTAAGTTTCAAAAAGAGTGGACCAGGGGGGTCCAATTCTATGAGCCCCAAAAGAAGATACCCCCATCCTCCTTTATTTCCAATGGAGGGAAGGCATTTAAAAGGAACACTGTCCCTTTAAATGCAATGGCAGCTCACCCAGAACTTGCTTCAGAGTTCAATCATGTTTCTTCCCTCCCTTCTCCAGTAGCCTCCTGGTAAGTCCCCTGCCAGTTTGTTAGCCTCACCTGCCAACCCTAACTGATAGATTTTCTACAGTCATCCTTTCATCTGCATCTATGTGAATTTGATAGCAAATATGTACCTGAAATACATTGCTTAACAGATGTATTTGATAGAAAACATTTACCTGAAATACATTGCTTAACAGATGTAGATGTAATGTTCTGCAAGAATTATCTAGAGAAAGCTAAGTATAGTTGACCTTTATTGAATTAAATGAGATTTATACACATTTGAATTATATTAAAGTGTTGGATTGTGTTCGGAATGGCTGTTGAAAGGAGGTAAAATATTTTACAGATAAAGTTGCTCACATCCAGCTGACTTGGATGTCTCTTGTGAAGAACCCAATCGGGACAAGATTTTCTTGTAATGTTTTCTTTGGTCAGTTTCAGTTTCTTCTTTTTTTTGTGCTTGGATGTCAACATTTTGTCAAATGTCAGTGGACCATTTGTGGGACCCTGTAATTCAAGATGTGGTGGTGTACATCAAGAGATATGCATAATTTAAAGATCATCTGATTGTGATTAATTTAACTATACCTTTAAAATTCTTTACCTAACTCCTCATAATACTATGTGTCAGATTCTGCTGCATATTTATAGGATTGGGTTCTACTCATTCTTTCTGCTAAGTGAGGAAACCTTCCTCGGATTGAGCAAACTTCTTCTGCTGGAAAAAGTTTTCTTCCACTAGATCAAGGTCTCCCACTTGGAAAACTGGAGTGGACACACAAGATCCAAACCAATAAAGCAAAATGTGATATTTGCATATTTTGCTTTCTGATGTTCCCTTTTTATTTTTTATTGTTCTATGATAACAAAAAATATTATTACTCATTAAAACCTCTCTCTCTCTCTCTTGCTTTTTACAATTGCAGAGATATTCCCAGAATACCAGACAGCACACATGCACAGTTGGAGTCCAGTAAGTTTCATTTTTCTGCATAGAATATCTAAACACCATATTTGCTTTGACACTTCCCTGGATACTGCTCTTGTATGTACCTTATCAGCTTTTCAATCTGTATGTAATGATACATTATGAGACGTCAGGAGAACTATATTAGGATTAACATTATTTTTACATTAATTGTAGTCTTTTTTTTTTTACCTAGTGGGTAGAAATTGGAGAGATATCAATTCTATTTTTTATTTTTGCAAGTTTTTAAAAATGTTGGATAGTAAAGTACTGTTAAATAAAATACATATTATGACATTTTCATTGTATAGAGCAGTGGGTATGATTTTAAAAATCAGTGTTTATATTTTAAGGAAATAACCAGGGCTATTTGGGGGCAAGAACGCACAGGAACGGAGTTCCAGCTGACTTCAGAGTTGGCCACGCCCACTACAGCCAAAACCTCTGCGTGCTGAGGCAGGTGGGCCAGGGGGAGCCTGGAAGGATCCAAGGATGTCAAAGGGCCGGCTTGCCCAGGCTCCTTGCAGCCACGGGGCACCCGGGCAAGCCAAGGGAAGACATGGGGGTGTAACCTAATATGCTAATGAGCTGTGATGTCAGGGTGTGGCCTAATACGCTAATGAGTTTCTGCTGCTGGGTGTGGTCTATTATGCTAATGAGTTCCTGCTGGGCTTTTTCTACAAAAAAAGCCCTGGAAATAACTATGCCAAAGAGATATTCTTAAACTGATTTACAATTTGGCCTTATCACAAATGTGGGTTGCAGCTAGGGTTGCCAATTCTGGGTTGGGAAATTCCTGGAGATTTGGGGGAGGAGTTCAGGGAAGGGAGGGACCTCAGCAGGGATGTGATGTCATAAAATTCACTCTTTAAAGCTGCCATTTTGTCCAGGGGAACTGATCTGTTTAGTTTGTAGATCAGTTGTAATTCCAGGAGAACTCCAGGCCCAACCTGGAGTTTGGCAACTCTAGTAGTGACCTTCCTTTAGAGTTTGGTTTTGTTTATCTGCTTTAGTTTCAACGTAGTTTATGGCTGTAGGATAGCACAAACATGATAAATTATAAGTGATCAGCTTACTGTTAAAAGTAGTTGCCATAACAATATTAACTATACATCAACAAAAGATATTCTCCTACCTTTTGGTTATAGAACCGAAAGGTTTACAGTCAATAGATGGAAGGATGTAGTTAAAACCCCAAATATTAATTAATATCAATATGAAATATGAATTTTTTAAGAAGCAAATGTTATTGCCCTCAAAATGTTATTGTGTAATTTAAGAGCACCTGTTACTTTGACAGTGCCATCCTCCTAATCAGAGTTCCATGCCTCTATGTCCAAAGGTGTATCTCTGCTTATAATGGTACTGTGAGAAACCTTATTTCTGCCAATCCAAATATCCAGAGACAAATATTTGAACTGCAGAATTTTGATAAGATTGACAAAGTATATTCTTCTAGAAGGACAGCATATAAATGCCTTCCAGTGCCACTGAAATTATACTGCAATCCTTTAATTATCGTTTAGTTATTCATGGCTAATCAGTCCCATTGGGCATAAAATCCAAAAACATAAACTAAGGTTTATTCAATAATTTATCCTTATTTACTGTATGTCTTTCTCTTTATGAAATCAGAATATAAAGCTGCAGAATTTATAAATATATTTTAACAAAATACACTTAATTATACTTTCAGGTTCTAGCTCTTTTGAATCTCAAAAAATGGACCGGCCTTCTATTTCAGTCACTTCCCCCATGAGTCCTGGCATGTTGAGGGATGTTCCACAGTTCTTGTCTGGACAACTTTCAGTATGTAAACATTTGTTCAAAATCATTTACTTCGTTGTTGTTTGTAATAAAGTACATATAATGGAAAATGACAGGTAACAATAGGTTAAAGTTATTGCTGTCTTAATTTCTTCCCTCTCTTCATTAAAATATATCTTTACATGGATGGGGCGGCACCTCATTAAGTACTGAATTGGAAATGAGTCTGTAATGTTTTTAGTTGCTAGAATTGCCATTTCTGTTTCTGTGTGTTCAGCATGACTGTGCACAGTTAGCTACAGCAGCCATCTCTAACAGTACTAGGCAAGAATACCATGCCCAGAATTGGAAGTAGCCGATTTCCCCATCTCCTTCATTTGGGATATATAATGGCATGCCATGATGGATTGTGTCCTTTAGGTATAGGAGGCTGCCTATAAAAACCTGAATTTTGTTTCATTCTTTAGAATAGGAACCTACACCTATAAGTCCTGATTTAAGAAACAGCATTCTGTTATTCAGCAGTCTCTTATTCCGTTCCCTGCCTCATTTATTTCAGTGGAGAATGCATGTCAGTAAGTAAGCTTAGTCTCTGTTGAAATAATTGTCGAATCATACATATATACATATTGGAGTATGCATTGGTCTTTGAATGAGGCAGAAAGTAGATGAGGCAAAGTACTACCTTGCGGACAGCAGCAATAAACTGCTTCTTATTACTTAGACAAAGAAGCAGACTTGCTTTAGAAATTCTTAATCTGGCCAAATAATTTGCTGTGGTCTCTTGAGGTTCAGTGATCTCTTGTAGATCTTGTTGTTCTTGCAGCTCTCTCTGAGCAAAGTTTGGTGACATGATGAATCTTTGAGTTCCTACATTCTGACCCTCCTGCAGTTCTGAGTGCTGAAACATACATCAACTGTCTTTTTTTTTTTTAAATTACCAGGCTGTTTTTTAATTTTTAGTACATGAAACAATGATCTCCAGAGTAGTTTCACTAGAGTTAGAAGTAGTACCTCCAAGATCTGTTCTTGGAAGAGTCTGGACAGATGAATTTCAGTTTGTTGGCGCATACTCAAAAATATGGTAGTTTCATTTGGATCTAAAAACCTTTGTGTGGACTGTGTTCTTTCTTGTATGCTCTTGCCTTATTGAAAAGAACAGAGTGAACAGAAACAATCCTCTGTTTCAGAGATGTTTATACTTTCTAAAATGTGTGGCTTACTATTGCTGCTTAGGACAAGTAAGTTCTTTTGAAATACAGAAATATTTGGCCTTATTATACACATATGTTATTTCAAGGCCATAGTGTCTATGTATTGAGCCTTTACAAGCAGAAGGATTCCTTTTGGGTACTAACTCAGCCTTTTACTCTTATGTTAGATATATTATTATGTTTTTGTAGTACATGTAAAAAAATGAAAGTCAATCTGATTCCATTTTTCTATATTGGGAAGAAAAATCATTGGACCATATCCCATTGAACTACTAATAAACCACTTAAGAAGATAATCATAATTATTTATTTATGTATTATTTTATTTAGAAAACTTGAATACTACCTCTCTAGACCTGCTTGAGGTGGCTCACAACTAAAACAGTAAAACAGAACAAAGCAAAACAGTAAAAACAATAAAACAAATAATAATAAGAAAAATAAAGACATGCTAATAAAAACAACCAATAAAAGTAAGGACACAAAAGCACATAAAACAGAAACAATTTTTAGGCTAAGAGCAAGCCATAAAACAGCTAAAAAAGATGGAACCCTATAGTTGAAGACCTGAGCCAGTTTGGTGTAGTGGTTAGGAGCGTAGACTCTAACCTGGGAGAACTGGTTTGATTTCCCACTTCTCCACATGCAGCTGCTGGTGTGACCTTGGGTCAGTCACAAATTCTCTTAGAGCTGTTATCTCAAGAGCAGTCCTCAAAAGAGCTCTCTCAGCCCCACCTACCTCACATGGTGTTTGTTGTGGGGGGGAGAAGGGAAAGAAGATTGTAAGCCGCTCCTTCGGGTAGTGAAGGGTGGGCTATAAATCCAATCTCCTCCACCTCCCCCTCTTCTTCTTCTTGACTTCAGGATAAGAAACTATAACTTTGGATTGTGCCTGGAAACAGGCAGACGGCCAATGTAGTTTTTCCAACATGGGGTGTGTGATATGATCTCTGTATCCAGCCCCTGGCTTCCACATTCTGGACCAACTGATGTTTCAAAGGCAGCCATAAATGGAGTGCTTTACAATAATCTAACCTCAATATGATCAAAACATGGACCACTGTGGCCAGATCATGGTTTTCAAGGATGGGCTGTAGCTATTGTATCAGCCAAAGCTGACAAAATATGCTATGTCCCATGGAGGAGACCTGAGCCTCCATCTGTAGACCAGAGTCCAGCAGCACCCCCAAGCTAAGAACCTGCTTGTTCAGGGGGAGTGCAACCCCTCTTATGACAGGGTTACTTCTATGTCCTCTAGCAGCTTTGTCATTAACCAACACTACCTCAGTCTTGTCTAGACTGAACTTCAGTTTGTTGGCCCACATCCATCTCATCACTTTCTCCAGGCATCTGTTCAGGACTTCACAGGCCACTGGCCTAGCTGTTAAGGAGAAATAGACCTGGGTGTCATCCACATATTGGTAGCACCTTATTCCAAATCCCCAGATACTGTCTCCCATGGTGGGCTGCACACTTCAAAGCAGCTTGTCCACTTGATTAGGCCTCACCAACTGAAAGTCAGCCATGCAACTAGGACCAGACTGAGACCCTGTAGTATCTTGGGATTTAATCAAATCAGTTGTGGATTCTGCGTCACACAGGATACAAGCAATTTTATCTGCAAATGCATTGCAAAAGAATAACAATGTGCCTGCATATTTCTCAGGTGTACGTTCACAGAGGCCTGCAATCTGGGGTTGCCAGCTCCAGATTGGGAAATTCCTGGAGATTATGGGTTGAAGCCTGGGAAGGGTGTGGTTTGGGGAGGGGAGAGACCTCAACAGGGTATAATGCCATATAATCCACCCTCCAAAGCAGCCATTTTCTCCAGGGGGACAGATCTCTGTTGTCTGGAGATCAGTTGTAATTCTGGGAGCTGGTAACCCTAGTGCGATCAGAACTTTCTGGCAAACAGGAAAGGCTCTGCCAGAGGGCATTGTGTGGACACACTTCACTTAACACCAGTTAATTGAAACCATATTAGAAAGAGAGACGATAACTTGACTCTTAAGACAAGGCAATGGACTGTACAACAGGGGGTTTCCCACCAATGAGATCAGATGTTGACTAAATATTTGCGTCATGGACAGTATGATGGAACAGTATGTGTGCCGTGAAATAATAAAATGTTTTGATTGATAGTAATATTTGGACAGTTATCAGAATTATGTAGAACCATTTCGATGTTTTGGAGGAGAAAAGTGTTTATTTAAGAAAGGACATCATCCAAGCCAGCCAGGCTATCTGCTCTTTTTTCTACCTGTCGCTGATTAGTTCTATTATCTGTCTTCTTCCACCTTTAGAGACCAACCCTAAGCAGGCCTATTTGGAAATAAATCCCATTTTATTGAATGGGGTTTCTTCCCAGAAAAAGTGTTTTTAGGATTGCAGCCTTAACTTTTTTCTCTACTGAAGACTGTGGAAGACTAAATTCTGATCCTCCCAGTTTCACTACTCCAACCAAAGCAAGAACTGGCCAACTCGTTTGTTTATTTGTTTGGTCTGGGAAACAGGTGAGAGTTATATATCATGCAGGTTGCCACTGCAGTGAATAATAATAATTATTGTATGGCAGTGTGTGTAGTATAGCCAGGAGATCCTAAGATTGTCTGGCAGCCAGAAATGAAGGATTACTGATATAAATTTTAATAATTGTTGTTAGATTGGGAGATTCAGTAACAGAAAAATCACTGAATTAGCCTTGAGTTATTGGCAATACAAGTGATTGGTTGTGATATGGACATAAGAGACATTGGGTATGTGGCAAACTTGATGGTGGTGTATGCCACCCTGCTTTAAGTTTGTGATTGCACTAAAATAAAAATTAAATCTCAACATGGACTCGTGAGCTCACTATGGATCTGTCTTCAGTGTTAACTTATAGGGAAAGGATGACAAGTTGGTCACTCTACCACTTCACTATGATGTTGTTGGGTTTCCAAGATCCCTGCCTGCTAGAATAAGACAGATATACAACTGAGAATTAACTTATGGCTTTGGTTTGTAATTTGTTCCTTGATATTCATCAAAAGCTCTTCAATTCCTTTGCTACTTTTAAGACTGTTGCTACTGAAATGTTGACATCTTTGCAGTAGGATATGGTAAACATTAATGGGAGTATTCTTGATTTCTTCCACACAGAAAGGTCTCAATGGGTTGTAATGGATGGTTGCTCATCACATCAGAGGAACTACATGGTGGAATCATATGAGAGTCCATTTTCTTCACTCTGCTGTTAAATTAATAAATTTAGCTTCTGGGAAAATCCTGTAGAACATTGGAGAGTGGTATAATTAATCTTCTGTTATGTCACAGCTCAGTTGGTTGGTTATATATCTGACTTGCGGACTGAATAAATAAATTTAGTCAAATACTTATCAAATGATAACTTCTACAACAGTTCTCAAATTGTGGGTCAGGAACCCAAAGTGAATGAGTTGTAAAGCCATGAGGTAGGAGATGGAACATGGTCCTCTGGAAGAGGAGGCTGTGGGAGGCTCAGTGGCAGATTTGGGTTTGCCTCTGTGTAATACGTAAAACGGCCATGAAATGGCCTGTTACTGTGTAGTGCTGTATATTTATAAATACTGAACATACAATAAAGAATATGAACTTGTTCAATGTTAAGTGATGCTAGATTTCTGCATGTTATGTGGGGGATGGGAAAAGTGGCATAGAATTATGTTGTTAGTGGGTCCCAAAAAGCAGTGTAAGTTTAAAAATGGTATATAAAGCTGTGTGTTTGTAGAAGTGGGGTTAGAAGTGTGTTGCATTTGAAAAAGTTTGAGAATTTATTATATTGTGGTAAACTGATGTTTGGTATATGCAGGGCTTTTTTGTAGAAAAAGCCCAGCAGGAACTCATTAGCATAATAGGCCATACCCAACAGCAGGAACCCATTAGCATATTAGGCCACACCCCTGACAGCACAGCTCATTCACATATTAGGCCACACCCCCATGTTACCAGAAGTGTGGTCATCCAGCCACACCCACCTTTTGCTTCTTATTCTCTTTACCTTGTTTGTTGTGAAAACCCAGGGCTTTTTGCATGTTAGGCCACACCCACCTAATTGTAGCCAATCCGAATGAGTTTCTGCTATTGGGTGTGGCCTATTATGCTAATGAGTTCCTGCTGGGCGTGGCCAACTTGGGAGCCAGCCGGAACTCTGTTCCTGTGCGTTCCTGCCCAAAAATAGCCCTGGTATTTTGCGGTAAATGTCTGCTTGGTAACTGGTGAATTGGGAGACTATGTGAAGAGTTAGCTTGATAAAGTCTGAACCCAGACAGGACAGAAGCAATGGGAATACTCATATTCTGAGTTAGTCTTATGAACTGAGTTTGCACTGCTATTTGGGTATTTTGGGCTTCATTATGATGCTTGGAACTTCAGGTTGAGGCAGTGGTAAGGTATAGTGTTCGTTAGCTCCATCTGATAAGACAACATTTGGAGTCTTGAGGCTAGACTACTGGCACTGACCTTGATAAATCTTCAGAAGTTATAATGGGTACAGTTTGCAATGATCCATCTCCTAACCAAAGTGGGTTTCTAGAAGCGCATTACTTCAGTGATCCAGAGTCTGTACTACCTCACCATAGTTTTCTAGAAGAAATAAAGTCTTCTGGTTTTGTCTGTAAAAGCTCATATAGCTCCTACTCAACATACCAAAGATTCCATTTTCTCCCTCTAATGTGCTGTCATAATCTTTTAAAAGTGAATCAGTTCAGTATAATAATTGGCTTAACAAAAGTGCTGTCAAATATTGTCCTATAAGTATGGACATTCTTTCTAAATGGGACCTTCCAAAATCTGAATGTAAGCATTTTTGGAAAGGGTTGTAAAGATGACCAGTGGCCAGGATTAATAGGCTTTTGATGGCTCCTGATTTTATTAGTTTAATTAAATTTTAAGACTTATGTCTCTAATTTTAAATATGTTTTACCCCACTCTGAGCCTTTCTAGAAGTGTAGGCAAAAAGAAGCCAATAAATAACATAATGTAACATTTCAAAACTGTGTAAGTGACCTTTAGTATTAGAAGACATACTAGCAAGATACTGATCTCTGAGAAACTGCATTTTTCTTTGTACCTCTTGACATACATTAGGCAGACTTTTTATATTAAGTGCAACAAAACCACAATGTGAAATTGTGAAGATGTTGGTGTATTGACAGACAAAAGGAAGGAGAACATATAAGGGTATACATGGCCAACCACACTGGGAGCTAGCTGAACCTCAGTATTGCTGTAAGTTCCACAGGGGCTTTCCTCAGACCTGGCTAACAGGTGATGATAGTCATATCCCCACTGTCCCAAATGGCTCCTCATGGGCTCGCAGCAGTAGTTTGGGTAGAAAACTGGTCTTATGAACTGAACAAAACAAAACAAAACAGACTGATGTGCCGCTGGTTGGCTTGCATGCTGCAGTTTGTCTACCCTTGCACTCCTAATGAGATCTTTGCCTAATGTTGGGGTCAAGAAGGCTCTGACAAGGAGCAGACTTCAAATCAGGCTCTGACAAGGAGCAGACTCAGTTGTGTCCACTAGACACCATGTCTGCAATTTATTTGACAGTCATTCCACTTCAAAATATATTATAGACATGGTTTGCTCATGTGCTTTTCTGAGATTCAGTAACTGTTTATTTCCCCTTGAAGCAGATAACTTCAATTTTTGGCCACCTTCAAGAGGACTGTTGGTGTGAATGGAACACCTCTCTGTTCCCACATGTTTATATACTATTATTTTCTCCAGTCTTATAATAAACCAAACTTTATGTATCCAGACTCAAGTTCTTAGTATATACTATATACTATTATTTTATATACTATCATTTTCTCCAGTCTCATAATAAACCAAACTTTATGTATCCAGACTTAAGTTTTTAGTAGTATTTTCCATGTCCAATACTGGGCTATCCAAATTCTAGGGGGTGTTAGAAGATTTTTTTATAAGGTACTTGTAATCACTTTTCATTTGCTTTCAGAAATAGCCTAGCAAAACTATTTTAAGTTCTCCTGGAATTTCCAATCTCACTGATTCTTCCAATATCCTAAAATATCTGCCCATTTTTTTTAACACAGGGCATTTCCATCAGATATGGTGAACAATTAATCTGGTTATTACATCTCCAGCATAATTTAGACCCTATATGTATAATTTTGGGAGTTCTTGCTGGAGTTTAGTAACCATATGTACCTTTAAAAACCATTCCTAGTCCTATGTTATGGAAAACTTGTCAATAATGTTGGTTAAGAGACCAAATCCTTTCCATTAGGCTGGTTGGGCTGTGATTTAAATCACCTTTACATTCCTGTCTTGTAAAAAATAATAATATATTTTGAGTTTTCAGGCTAACCCATTTTCAGTGGTTTTGGGTTTTGAATATTTCCAATAATGGATAGATTGGTAATAATTCTATATTGTTATATTTTACAGAACTAATTTTAAGTAGTGGTGTTATTCATTAATACCATATGTCATTTCTGTTAAGGTAGGTAGATACATAGATAGACAGCAGCATTCCCTGTTACCAGTGGTTAATTTCTAAAATAATTGTTTGGGCTGAAAGTTTTTTTTGTAAAGCCCTTGTTTCATGAGTGACGAGAATGCACTGTACATTCTTCGTAGTGTTATCTTCATAATGTCTTCACATGTGCTCAACTAGTCAGGTAGTCTCTTTGATAGGTTCCTTAATTGGGAAACTCAGAATAATATATCATCTTTGAATTGCTTTAGTTAATAATGCTGCAAAGATAAATGTTTCTTTTAACTGTAGGGCTTTGTTTAACTGTAGGATTTTATTTTTTAAAATAAACTTAGATGAGAAATTATGAAATGCTTTTTATAGCAACTAATTCATGTTTTCTAGACTTCTTTTGCATCATACTGTACTGATTATTATGAATATTAGCAATTTTGACCAGCGGTGAATCAGGGTGGGACTATTTTTGACATTAAGTATATTTTAAACACTTTTCACAGTTACTATTCACAGTGTGAAACATTAGGTCAAGGTGTTATTCCTCAAAGAGATAAAAATGCAATTGGTATAGGAACATACACATTTTTATACATTTAATAATGCATTTGCAGGTTTAATTAATGCACTGCAATTAAACATTCTTTTCAGATAAATATGTCCCTGGTGGAAAGCAGTGCTTAAAGTTGTGTATCGTTTTACTTTTGGTCTTTTAGTTTCCAGTGTGTTGTCTTTTTGGTTTTGTTTTATTGCTTTTTCTTTAATTTTGCTTACCAGAGCCAAAGCCTTAGTAGAAGAACAGCGCCTTTTGTTCCTAGGGTTCAGGTAAAGGCTTTATTTGCCTGACGGAAACTAAAGTTGTGTTTTTTTTCTTTTGTTTGTCTTGGAAAATGCATAGTAGGAAAACGTCACAGTTTAGTCCGTTTTCCCATTTTAATTTTTTTAATGTGTTGCTTCAGACCATATTAACAAACTTCACATTGTCTTGTGAGCAGCTTGAATAGTCCTGCATGGAGAATAGAATACTAAATTAAAATTTAAAGAGACAACTAGTTTTTAGTTTTGTTTTTTATCTGCTATCTAATTGAACTAACACAGATGTCTGCAGTGTTAATAGCTGTGTGTTTCTCATAAATATGTACCTTGAACTAGTAATAGCTGAGCTTGTGCTTTTGATGTTTGGCCTCATTGTATCAAGTTTGATGTCTCTTTAAATCACTCATTTTCATTACTTAACACTTCCTTTTTGCATTTTCCAAATGACAGTAGCTCCTTGAGTAGAAGACAGGCAAATAAATTTGTACCTTGTGTAAGGAAATTGTACATTGCTTGCATTTGACAAGTTAGTTGTAATACTGAAAAGATGAATTATTACAAGATAATTTACATGATTTGTAGCTTTGACTATATTCACAGTGATACTTGGGTACAAGTTGTTTGCCTTTTTTCATTAGGAATCCCTTAAGGTACTGTAGATTAACCTAACTGTAGGCTGTAAGAATGCCATAATGCTTTTATTGCTTTGCTGCATGCTTTCGTTTTTTTTTTTAAAAAAAAACAGAGAACATTACCTGCTTTTGTTATAAAATAGTTTTATGGAAATGTTCATCTTTAGTATAAATGCTGTGTAAGTTTATTATTTTCAGGTAGCAATTCTAGAGTTTAGTTCCAGGGAAGTGTCTTTAGAATTTCAGCCATAAACTGTTTCACTGCTTAAGGAGACATGAAAATAGAAGATCAGAGTTTTTTGTTTATTGCATAGAAAGGGGATCACATATTATTTTAAGGAAAAAAACTACATGAGGTACATCAGAGAGAACAAAATAGGTTTGAGAGTGTCCACCTACAAAGACTGCTGTTTGCTTAAGATTAAACCAGTATTCCCCCATAATTTAGTATACCACTTAAATGGAAAATGCTTACTTCAGAATGAAAATAAGGGGATATTGTTTATAATGATTCATATAGGTTCTGTTAATTTAGAATGGACAATATGGGGAAAATACAAACATATTACTTAAATATACTTAAAAATAGACAACTCTTTCAGTTCAGCTTCCTGAGAGGTATTTCCTTATCTAACACTTGTATCACTTGCAAGTAGTTCTCAGGCACTACATGAAGTATAATATTCTAGTGTCTGTGGTGAATCAGATATCAGAAGCTAATAGAATATATTCACATATTCATGTAATGGGGTGCTTCCTGCAGCTCTGCTAAGAGCCTTCCTCCAGAGGAAGGTTCTTTGCCCTAAAAAGGCTCTGTGCTTGGCTATGCAGTGGTAGGATACAACCTAATCACTTTCAGTGGCTCATGATATCCCAAAATTACCACTATATAATTTGCTAACTAGTGATAATATCCAAGCAGTTGAAGCAGGATTGTCTTGGGCGGCTGTGGCTGACATGATGCTTTCTTTTTGCGAAGAGTGTAGGGCAGCAGCTTAGCACCCTATGGACAAAGCTGTTCCATCCGTCCAAGCCATTAATTCTTTCTATGGAGCAAATTACATCCTTATTCTCATCACCTAATTCTGCATTTAATATTAATAGTTATAGATCTCCACACCATCATAGTCTGAAAGTTTAAAATATCCCTATTGTATTTTGTCGGCAAAAATGTTTATTTAGCGGCAACAGTTACAGTAGAGGGACTAAATATTTGTTTAATGTTTTTGGTTTGTTAGCTTTCCAAATCTGGGATAGGAATTGGTTAATAGATATTTAACAGGGAAAAAATAGAGTAATAAACATAGTTGCCATATTGTTCTAATTGTTGGAGTTGGAGTAGTAAGATAGTTGCTATACACTTGAGTCAATCAGTTCCTGATTGTTCTACTAATGAGAACAGGGCTATAGTGTCCATTACCTTATTCCTTTCCTTTTGTCATATGGTATACTAATCAGAGTAGGAAGAAGTTATTAATCTTGAATTCATATCACTCATTGAAATGGTAGCATACATGTAAACTTAGTACACATATACACCACTACAGTAAATAATCATACGTATTCCAACATAGGAAAAGTAATACTAGCTAGATTGTTCATACAGAATACATTTCATTAAATATATTACCCATATCCTATCATTTTGTTTTATAATGCTACAATTATCTTCATTTCAATAATTAGGAAAACAGAGACAACTGAGAGCTAGTTTCAGACAGTAGCTGTGTTGGTCTGCAGTAGATTCGAGTCTAGTAGCACCTTAGAGACCAAGGAGATTTTTGGAGTATGAGCTCTTGGGAGTCAAAGCTCCCTTCATCTAGGAGCTTTGACTCTTGAAAGTTCATACCCTCAAACTCTTCTTGGTCTCTAAGGTGCTACGGGACTTGAATCTAACAGAGGGCTAAGAACGCCATTGATCTTCAATAATTCTTTACTGCATAATGAATTACCTGGACTGACTAATGAATATTTTCTCATTACAGATAAAATTGTGGTATGACAAGGTTGGTCATCAGTTGATAGTCACAATATTGGGAGCAAAGGATCTTCCTTCAAGGGAAGACGGAAGGCCAAGAAATCCTTATGTTAAAATTTACTTTCTTCCTGACAGAAGGTAGGATGAAGGAAAGGAATAACTATTTTAACAGAAATTAATGCAAATTTAATATCATTTGGAACTGGGGTTGGTTATACTGCTTGCGACCAGCATAACTTAAGGACCACCTACTCCCATTGAACCTACCCGACCATTACTGTTATTTTTGGAGGGCTTGCTTTGGGTGCCCCCATGTTCTGAGGCTAGAAGCGTGGCAACCTGGGAAAGGCATCAAAGCAATGGAATTCCCTCCCGAGGGAGACTCATCCTACTCTATAGTTGCCTTCCACCAGTGAATGAAGACATTTTTGCTTTATTTGGCATTTCCTTGTTGACCTTCCTTTATGTTTATGTTTAAACTGCTGTTTTATCTATATGCATTTTTAAAGTTAATTGTAATGTCTTTTTAACTGTTTGCTGCCTTAAAGGCTCTAAATGGATTGAAAGGCAAGATAAAAATGTTATATATATATATATATATGTATGTATGTATATGTATAAATTTATTAATTAGTGTAAGTATTTGTATTGGAGGTTATTGTAAAAGTCAGTTTATCTGATATGAATAGCAATAATAGCATTAGCTGGACATTTTAAACAGGAAGTTCAAAAATGGATGAATAAATAACATCACAAACATCAATGTGCTTTGTTAAGAATATTTCAAAGTGGTAGCCATGTTGCTGCTAAGACAAGAAAGTGCCTTGTGGCTTCTTAAGACTAATGTGCTTTGTTAAGTTAATATTTCAAAGTGGTAGCCATGTTGCTACTAAGACGAGAGAGCCTTGTGGCTTCTTAAAGACTCAGCAGCTTCATACTGGAATCTTCCTTATAAACATTTTTGCTGAAATATGGAAACTTTCAAGTCTGTGACTGAGTATTCATTGAGGCTGAAATTTCTCACCACTGATTTTGCATGCTTCTGTTTTAATGCATGATTTGTATCTGTTAATCTCTTGCACAGAAAAAGCCATTTGGTCTACAGAAATGGCAGAAGGACTTTGCTGTCACATGATAATACATTTTTCTGCCTTTTATCATTACCTCCTTCTGCACCAATTTCTATTATGATTTTATTGCTCTGTATTTTGGACCATTTTAATAGCTGTGTTCTTTATATGATTTCATGCTGCTGTTTTAATTGCTTTTCCCCTTGGGTTTGTTCAGATAACTTGTTCTGTTATTTCAATTAATGATATCATAAGCCACCTCAGGAACTCGTTGTGCTGAAAGCATGGATACATTTATTTTAAACAATTTGCTGGTGGAAGGGCCTTTCTTGTATTGTTGGGTCCTGTGACAGTGTCATGTGAGTAGATATGGGAACAGAAATGGCACTGAGATTTGTTGCAATGGCTAGTCCCATTGGATGACTATTGCTGATGGTGAGTAGTTGCTTCAGTTTGGGGAGCTCTGTGAGAAGAAAGGATTGTCTTCCAGAAAAAGCTGTAGATCCTTTCAGAGTGACACTATTTATGGAATGCTGAGTTGAAATTCATGTGCAGATTTGACCCTATTGAAATACTCTGCAGAGTTATGCACTTCTAAGCCCATTGCCTTCAATTTAATTAGAAGGGTATAAGGATTGCACGGCTAGGCTTAGGGCTCAATAGAGACAGAGTAGCTAACACATAATATCTTTTGAGCTTTATGTACACTATTTATCGTGCTTTGCTTGTTTACTGCCATTCTCATTGGATCATTTATTCTTTCACCTGGATCCTGTTTTCATTTGTTCTCTGCATACTAATACAATGTACCTAGTATTGTAGGGCCTCATAAGTTCACTTTGTAATACCACTCTCAACTCTTATGCTTGTACTCACGTATTCTGAATCAATATGCTCTGGCTTATGAAAGCTTAAACCACGATAAATGGTATAAGGTTTTTTGGTAACACCAGTTGACCACTGTTAAACTTTAGATCTCTGTACCTGTAGATGGAAGTTTACAAATTAAAGGATTGTGTGGAGGAGGTGAGGTCTCTACCAATGGAAGATAAAGATTCTTACCTTTGCAGAAAATGCTAGGAGTCAGAATGACCTCCACAAGCCCCCACAAGCCTCCTAACATAGCAGAACTAGTTATTAATAGATCCTGTTTGCATATTATTGCACTTAGATGTGAAGCTGGAACTGGAGGTGACTGAATTGCTTTCTTTCTGCTTTCTTTCCCCCCAAACAATTTGATGTAATGGGAGTGAATTTGCTCACTATTCGGATCACACAGAAGTTGGAGTGCTTTGAGTTGAGAGACACTTGAGCAGACAGTATCTAATGCTTTTTTAATCCCCTCCTTTATCCAAGAAGCTCAGGTGGCATACATGCTTCTCCTCTCCTCTGTTTTACTCTCACAAAGTCACTGTGAGACAGGTTAGTCTCTACCAGAGTGACTAGCACAAGAACACCTGGTGAGCTTAACAGTAAAGTGGGGATATGAACCCAGTTGTCCCCAGTCTTAATCCAATGCTGACAACAGTAGTTTGCAGCATTACACACCTGAGTTCAGTGTAAACCCTTGCAATGGCTTTGGGGCAAAGATGAAAGCGTCCAATATCATACTGATATTGGAATTTGGGAAGTAATCGTGATCGCTGAATTTTCCATCCCTTTAAATGTGTTTTGCAAGCCACTGCATGAGTGAACCCAGAAGGTTCACTGCTCCAGATTCACTTGCGCTGTGACTTGCAAAACACATTTGAAGGGACCATCCCTCCAAGTTGTGTGCAGATTGGCTGTGGGGTGGGGGAGATCCTAGGGTTGGTCCAATGTGCAAAAGGGAGGGAGGGAGCCAAAGGCCCCCCCACAAGCTAGAGGCATCAAGCTAGCAACGGACCTCCCTGGGATGCCCCGTTATGTTCCCTGCAAGTTATGTGCATAATGGTTAGGGGGAGATCCTGGGGTCCAATGTGCAAAACAGTGGGAGTATGTTGAACAGCCCCCCTGCAAGCTACAGGCATCAAACTGGCAGCAGACCTACCCGGGATGCCCCTCTACCTGCCCTCCAAGTTGTGTGCAGATTGGCTTTGGAGGGAAAGATCCTAAGGTCATAAGAACATAAGAAGATAAGAGAACATAAGGGAAGCCAATGTTGAATCAGGCCAGTGGCCCATCCAGTCCAACACTCTGTCACACAGTGGCAAAAATATCAGGTCCATGTGCAAAAGTGGCGGGAGTCTGTTGAATGGCCCCTTGCAAGCTAGAGGTTTTGAACTGGCACTGGACATCCCCAAGGTACCCCTTTATCTGCTCTCTGAGTTATGTGCAGATTGGCTTTGGCGGGAAATCCTAGGGTCCAATGTGCAAAAGGGGAGAGTGTGTTGAACAGCCCCCCTGCAAGCTAGATGCATCAAACTGGCATCTCCCTGGGATGCCCTTCTACCTGCTCTCCAAGTTGTGTACAGATTGTCTTTGGGGAGGAAGATCCTAGGGTCCATGTGCAAAAGTGGACGGAATGTGTCAAACAGCCCCCCTGCAAGCTAGAGGCATCAAACAGGCAGTGGACTTGGCAGCAGCTTGCAAAACACATTTAAAGGGATGGTCCCTTCAAATGCATTTTGCAAGCTACAACACAAGAGATCCCAGAAGGGGGAACCTTCTGGATTCACTTGTGCCGCGGCTTGCAAAATGCATTTAAAGAGGCAGTCCCTTCAAATGTTTTTTGCAAGCTGTGGCACAAGTGAATCTGCGGCTTGCAGAATACATTTAATGGGATGGTCCCTTTAAATGTATTAGGTTTTTCCTGCCCCACAGTTTAAACCGTGGGGCAGGAAAAGCTGGCCCCAGGTCAGTTTGTGACAGGAGTTCTCTCCCTGCCACACACTGACCTAGCTGGGAGGCTTCTCCTGCCCCGTGGTTTAAACCGCGGGCAAAGAGAAGCGGCGATTTGGTGTTGCCATGCCAAGCCAAATAAAAGCCAAATAATATCGAATTTCTCGATATTGGTAGCTGATTACAGATTAGAGAATCCGATGTGGTTTAGGAAATACTTGTTTTTTTCCGGGTATTTATTTGACTTGGTAAATATCTAATGCACATGGCAGAAGGAAGGTGGACAGCAGAAGCAAGAAAATTCACAGGTTCCATTTGTATTACCTTATTTACTGAACTGCTTTCAAACTGTTGATATTTACATTCTGAGCTATATGTGATTCCAATTTTGGATCATTGTCCTATTTTCTTACAATGGGCAATTTAATCTCTGTCATGTCTCAGAAGAGTTAACCTACAAATGAAGTTATGTAATACTTGGACATATTTACAATCTTTAATTTTTATGCACTGAGTTGTTTTTTTTAAGACAGTAGACCCCATGTTGCATGACAAACTACTGTGGAAACTGAAGTGTTTCAACAGCTGTTTCTGATGTGGTAGATAAGATCTGTTCGAAAGAAAAAGTCAAAAATTGCCAGTGCAAGTCCTTTGTGTGACCATGAGCAGTTCACTGGGTCTGGATTATATTTACTTTTAAAATGGATTTCAGTTGAAAGTATACCAACAATTCTACTTCAGTAACAATTTAGAATCCTCTACCTAAGTTAGCTTCCAAAACTGGGGACTCGGTTGATCTTGCTCCAAACGCCAAACAGCTTAATGTAAGAAGATAAGAAGAGGCCTGCTGGATCAAAGTTCAATCTAGTCCAGCATCCTGTTTCAAATAGTGACTAACTAGTTGCTCTGGAGGGCCACCAAACAGGAAATAGCAGCCAAGGCCTTCCTCTAATGTTGTATCCTAACACTGGAATTTAAAGGTTTACTGCCTCTGAATGTGGAGGTTCCCTTTAATTGCCATGGCTTGTAGCCATTTATGGACCTTTCCTCTGTGACTCTGTCAATCCCCTTTTAAAGCTAGTGTATGTGCACGATCCTCAGGTCATTCTTATAATACCTGAGGTCAGCAGATGCATGTCCCCTAAATAGCTTTGGTGTGAAGAAAAAATGATTAATTTTTGGTGGGCAGGAGAAATGTCTTAGAGCATCTTCCCTCACCATAACATGTCTTTAACCACTGCTGCCACACTTGCTTTCTCTATGGCAGGCATCTGGAAGAAGCACCTTCAAGATCGTTTTTAAAATAGACTTTCTTTTAATAGCTGTAACAACCTTTTGTACTCAGAGTGTGCCAACCACTCTCCACAACCTCTCTCTGACATGTTCAGGGTCACAGGTAGGTCAGGTAGTCACACATCAATTACCTGTCTTGCAATTTAAAAAGCAGAGAAAGAGCCATGACCATTTCACATCCCAGGTCCTCTCTGTTACTCAAGGAGAAACCAACCGACAGAATAGCCTAGCCCCTTTAAATAAATGCCCGTCACTCAGACACTGAACAGAGCTACTGGGGTTGGGGACTCAAACACTGTTTCATTCATACATTGTCACCATTTATTCATATCCTAAAATATATAGAAATTGAGATCTTTGTGTGTGTGTGTGTGTGTGTGTGTGTGTGTATGTTTCTTTCCCTGAGACAACCAGCCCATATGGTTAAAAAGAGAAGGAGTTAACTTATGATTTAAATAAAGTTTTATTTATGGTTTAAACAAAGTTACAAAGTTTCTTTTCAATTTTCAGATCCTTAGTTACAAACTGACCCTTTCAGTCAGCTTTAAACTGCTCTGCTCCACAGCTTCACTCAGCCAAACTCACTCTCAACTCCCTAATGGCTGTCTTCAACTTTCTTAACTGCTGTTTTCAACTGTCCTTCACTAACATTCTGTCACCTCCCATGGTCGCTCATAGGGAGAGGCGGAACCTAACCTGTCCATCACAATGGCAAATAGAACAGAGGGTGCATGAGTGTTGTGACACTGGAGGAAAGACAGACTGCAGAGTATCCTTTTTATCATACCATATTCTTCTGCCCATCACATATTGTAACCATAGCATATGCATGAAAGTTGGTGGTGGGGAAATCACATGTATTTATGCATATATATAAGGGTGCGTATATACTTGTATGCAGTGATGGAAGATAAGTACGTGCTCCATATGTATGCAAATAGTGTGTGTAGGTGTGCAAGTGTTTTCTGTGTCTTTTGGGCCTGGTCTACCCATGCAAGTGTTTTCTCCACTGAGGTATCTATTTCATACATCTTATATTGTATCAGTGGTGCTATATTTATTCAGTATCTGCAATATTGAATATTCTTTATATTGGCTTTACACTATTATGAATTAGATGAAAGAAACTAAATCTATTCTATAAATAATTGTGTAAATGTTTTGAAATTATAAGGTTTTTTTGTAATGTTCATAGGAATTGCTTTTTCTTTTAAGCATGTTATTGTAGATGTTTTCCTTTAATTATTGCTGACATTTCTCTTCAAATTAAAAAAAATAACAGTAACTGATTGTATTGAGTTAGTTTTCTTCTGACAGCAAAACAAGTTTTCCTCAACCCCTGTGCCCTCCCAGCACTGATAAATAAGTTTGCTAGGCAAACGTAAATCTCATTCATAAGGAAAAAGAATCTGCTAGTAATATGGGATATTTAAACAATTCAAGCATTTAATTAGGGAAGGATATAGAGTTCCAACTAAACAAATTCTATGGAAAAACTTGTCTGATATGACCCAGTTCAGTTTTCCCAAGCAAACAAACTTTTTATGTTAAAATAAAATCATTAATGCTAAAATAGAATCATAGAGTTGGAAGGGATCTCCAGGGTCATCTAGTCGTATCCCCTGCACAATGCAGGAAATTCACAAATACCTCCCCCTCACATCCCCAGTGACTGCTGTTTCATGGCCAGAAGATGACAGAAAACCTCTAGGCTCTCCAGCCAAATTGGCCTGGACAAAAAATTGCTTCCTGACACCAAAGTGGTGATCAGCATTTCCCTGGGTGTGTAAGAAGGACCACAAGAACTAAGCACTTATGCAACCCTTCCCACCCTCTCTCTCATGATCTGCCTAAGTTCACAGAATCAGCATTGCTGACAGATGGCCATTTAGCCTCTGTTTGAAAACCTCCAAAGAAGGAGAGCCCACCACCTCCACTACAAAGCTTACATATTCTGGAAGAGTACTGACAACAGTAAAAGAGCCATTTTGAAGTAAATTTCTATATACCATCAGTGTTCTTTTATCTAAGTTAGTGAAATAGTATTAGTTCATATTTTCCCATGTACTATTGAGTTATTGCTTCCAGTTTATATTCTCGTTCCATAGTTACTAAATGATATATCGCTGAAATAGCAAATGAACTAGAAAATGTTATTGACTAGTTTTCTACACAACTAGTGTTCTGCACCTAACCATAGTCCTCTGTCATATGACATTTTGAGACTGAGGAGAGTTTCAAAAATTGTTCTGGGGAGGGGCAGGAGTCAGTTATTTCCACAAAACAGTCAAAAATATTAGTGGATATGGAAATGCCTAAAGTAGTTCTTTAGGTCTTGATCCCTGTCTTTAATATAAAGTTTAAAAGCTGATGCATGTAATATATAAAGAATATTTCTTTTGAGCATTCATGTCTTTAATATATTACAAAACGTAAGCATTAACCTGACACATTAAACGATGCAGAAGTTCACAATAGGATCATACTTACAGCTGACAGTACATTCTATACACAGTAGTATGGTCCATGGCCTCTACCTTTACCAGAGACTTTCTGGAACATTTTGTGGTGGTACAGACCTAAGTACCAGTGTAAAAAGTCCTTCTGATTCAAACAACATGTTGTTGTGCTCTAACTGCCTATTAGACTTTTCAATCTTCTTTCATTTTATAGGTCATAGTGTCATAATACTTAGTGAGTCTTTAATTTGCACTTATTAATTACAGCGATAAGAACAAAAGAAGAACAAAAACAGTAAAGAAAACTTTGGAACCCAAATGGAACCAAACATTCATTTATTCTCCAGTTCATCGGAGAGAATTCCGAGAGCGAATGTTGGAAATTACTCTTTGGGACCAAGCACGTGTTCGTGAGGAAGAAAGTGAATTTTTAGGGGAGGTACCTGATATTCTTGTATTGTTATGATGAATTAATAGCTTTTCCTCAAAAGGAATCCCATGAAATGGATGGATCACGGAGAAAGTTTAAAATTTTAAGATTTGTTTCACATACTTTTCTTCACTTAGTCACATTAGCTGTTTTTGACAAGCACACAGTGTTTTCATGCATCTTTCTCACTACTGATCTCTAATGCATTCATTGGTCCTATTCTCTGGGTGTCCATATCTTGTTACAGAACTGGAAATAATGCTGATTTGATAACAGTATGGAGGGATGTGGTAGATGAGAACTGAATTAAGTTGCCTTTCCTGAACACCTGGTCATAGGTTCCCTAGATTAATTGGGACAATCAGGTTTATAATGAATGCTATGAAGATGTGCACAGATCAGTTTCTTTTTTTTAAATAATTTTTAATTAAATTTTCCAACATATACAACAGTAAAACAAAACAATCTTAACAAGAGATTTTTTCAAAATAAAATCTTGATATACAAAAAATTATTGTAGGAATATAGAAATCATTCAAAATTAACAATAATAATAACTAGCAATAACAACAATTTGTTTAATACGAAATTATATCAATATATTTTTCAGGGAGGCTACAACTCTTGTTTTCTGAATTATTGACAAAATCAAAAAAGGGAAACCATTTTCCCAAGGATATGTTCTTCTTTGATAATACTTCTGCCATCCAAATTTGCGATGCTAATTTATCCATAACTGTTAAATCCCATTCCTTAATAAACCATTGGCAGATCGTAGGAGCTTTGTTAAGTTTCCAGGTTTGTCCAATCAAAGTTTTTGCAGCACTTAATAAAAGTGCAGCTAACTCCATTTTTAATTTAGTTAGCCGTAAAGAAGGCCAAAAATTTAAAAGAATAGATTCCGGGGTTTTAGGAAGACCACAATTAAGAATTCTATTAATCAGATTTATAATTTTGGACCAAAATTTTGCAATGATGGGACAATCCCACCAACAGTGTTTAAAAGAACCTTTCTCTCCGCATCCCTTCCAACAAAAAGGGGGCAAGGAAGTATAAATATGAGAAAGTTTTTGGGGTGTCATATACCACCGTGTATATAATTTGTAATTTTGTAGTTTGACATTTAATAAAGATGTAGTAAATAGACTAGATGACCATATAGATTGCCATTGCGTTAAGTTCCAATTCATTCTGCAGTCTTTATGCCAAGACTGGTGTATTGTCAGAAGTTTTTCCCATAAAGATTTACAAAGTGATTGATGTAAAACTGAAATTAGACCTCAAAATTTCGAATTGAGTCAAAGGTCTATCCAGTGACTTTGTTGCATTTATTTTATGCATTAAGTGAGAAATTTGCATATATTGCATCCAGGGTATTTCAAATTTGCCCTTGAGTTCCAGTTGAGATTTAGAGAGAAATTTTTTGTTTTTATACAGGTCATCCAATCTAAGAAGGCCATTTTCCCCCATAATAAAAAAGATGAATCCATTGCTGGCCTAAACCATGGTTGTCCTAAAAAAACCCTGTTATTGGAGAGGTCTCTGGAGCTAAAATATGGCGATATTTGCACAGATCAGTTTCTACTTTAAATGTTTGTAGTACAATAGAGTTTTGCACAGTAACACTTTATTATTTTTGTAGATTCTTATTGAATTAGAGACAGCACTGCTGGATGATGAGCCCCACTGGTACAAACTTCAAACACATGATGTCTCTTCATTGCCACTTCCCCACCCTTCACCATACTTGCCACGCAGACAGCTCCATGGAGAGAGTCCCACACGAAGGCTGCAAAGTAAGTTGTTGATTCAGAGGTACTTCTTGCTGTTTCTTTCTAGAAGATTGGCAATGAATAAAATATAAAGCTGGCATTATTTATAGAGTTTCCTTTTATGCACTTTAATACCATTGGTCTGAGAGGCTTGCAGGGTACTTTTAAATGAATGAAATAAATTGCTTTAAATAAGCCTTTGTAGTAGTTAGGAAGGCTAACAATGATAATTCATTGTGGGATTAAGAAACATTGGTTTGGATCTGATGCAAGGCAAGCAGAATTGCGATATGTGAACACAACGTTCTCTCTTTCAGCAGCCCTTGTGGGTCAGTGCCTCAGTGAGGTATGGGCTGCACTGGGGAGCAAAAATTTCCCTCCCTGCATTCCAGAAGCAGAAAAGGAGGTTAGGATCCAAGCAGATAGTAGGGTTGCCAGCCTCCAGGTGGGGCCTGGGGATCTCCCGCTTTTACCACTGATCCCCAGCCAACAGAGATCAGCTCCCCTGGAGAAAATGGCTGCTTTGAAGGGTGGACTCTATGGCCTTGTACTATGCGGAGGCCCCTCCCCTCCCCAAACCACACCCTCTCCTGGCTCCACCCCCAAAGTCTCCAGGTATTTTCCAACCCAGACTTGGCAACCCTAGCAGACAGATCAAGATGGATAGCCATGTTAGTATGTCTGCAGCAGTAGAAAAGAGTAGGAGTCCAGTAGCACCTTAAAGACTAACAGAATTTGTGGTAGGGTATGAGCTTTCATGAGTCACTGCTCACTTCTTCGGATCCAAGCAGTTACATTTGAATTTCCTGGTTTTTGTTGTTTTCTCATAAGAGTAGCCTGGTGTGAATAATATTATTATTTATACTATAGCTAAAATTTTGTACAACCATTTATAAAGCTTAATATTTACAAATATTATTTGCTTTAGAAGTTTATTCCTAGAAATATGAAGTAGTATAGAATGCTTCGTATCCTAATATGCTGATCTTCAATTAATAAATAGGCTGTCCATCTATAATCCAAGCCCTCAGTTATTTTAAATGGGACTTCATACATTTCAACATTTAAATGTATATAGCTGCTATAAATATTATCAGTTTAACCATCTTAAACATTTTTTCTCCTATCAAAATACAAGAAACAGGACCACTTAATTAATTTGATTAGCAGTTTGTTTGGTATGGGTAAAAGAAAATTATCCTTCATATGGTTCATAATTAAGTTAATGAGTTAATGCTATATGATGTGTGATTACCATTAGTTTAGGTGCCTTTTAAAAGGTATTAGATAAATATATAAACCATCAGCTGCTTTATTTAAATAGAACCTCTACGAATGGAATTATTGTGCCTCTATAGCTGATACTGGGAATAATTAGGGAAATCTCACTGGTAAATGTCCTAAAGGTTTTGGCTGATCACTGGACCTTTTGTCTGATCCTGAAGATGTCCTTATATAATATTATGTTTTTATTACATCCTTTAATTTTTAAAATTTAAGTGTAAATATTATTCCATCCAGAAGTTCATGGAAATAGTATACTTACAAATATTATTCATACAGCTAAGTAATAAAATCTAAGAAGAGATCTCGGTTAATGGTAATTGCTGTGTCACCAGTTTTTTGTGCTAGTGCAGTTGTACCTTCTGAAACCAGTGGATAATATATTATAAATATATATATTTAAACAAAGAATAACATTCATTGTTTCTCCCTCATGCTTTTGCATAATTTTTCTCTTTTATTAAATCAGTGTCTCAGGCATGATCTTTGACGTGGTCTCTGTGCTTCACACCCATGGGATCTAGTGCACACGCGCTGGATCGATCGGTGCTGTAGCAAGCTCTTTTAACGGATTTTCGTGCCCAGTCCCTCGGGCATGCGCAGGAACCCCACCGTGCATGCCCAGAGGGGTGGGCGCGGACATCCCACCAGTTCCTTTCTTACCACCGCGTTGAGTAAACCTCTTCTTCGTCGGTCCGATCGGTTCGCTGTTAGCTTTCACCTCACAGCTCTTAGGAATTCTCTTAGGAATTATTTCCAAACTTTCTTTTACTTTAATTTTTGGTTGTTTCTTCTTCAAAAACAGTTAATTTTTTTTTTTTTGCTTTCTGCTGAGGGGGACTTTACTTCAGGCCGGGCTACCCCCCCCCAAACATTCCTTCTCCTTCTTTTCTTGTATGGAGAAGAAGTGGGGATTTTTTAATAGGTGCAAGGGTTGTGGTAGCAAACGTGCCCCACCCGACTGTCATACCCTCTGCATTTTTTGCCTCGGAGAGTCTCATCAGCCAGAGTCCTGTCATCACTGTGCACGTTTCTCCAACCAAACGATAAAAAAACGTGCTGTGCGCCTTAAACTGGCGCTGCTTGAATCGGCCCTTGCTCCTGCCACATCGATGGAGGAGAGACCGTCTACATCCACAGCTCCGGCATCGAGACCTGCCTCCAGTGTCAACTGCCTGACGCCGAAGCTCCCGACATCGAAGGCACAATTGTCCGATTCCACGCCAGTCAAAAAGAAGGCTAAGGCAAGTAAGGATCACAAGTCTGCTAAGAAGGGCACCACCAAGCCCCTGAAGGCGGCGAAGAAGGGGAAGGAAGCGGTGTCTGCACTGGGTGATGCCCCTAAAGTGCCTCCCGCTCCAGCGGCAGTATTGATATCGGAGGCCCAAGTCCCTCCACCGATACCGACCATCCTGTGCTTGGCCTCCCCTGTCCACCAAACGGAGCGTCCTTACTCCGACATCGAAACGGTAGAGCTCCTAAGTCATCAAATGGATGCAGAGCCTTCTCCGTTTCCTTCCCCTTCGTTGACATCAACGGTATCGGAAGCTCCCGACATCGATCCATGTCGGCACTGATATACTTCATGCGACACGCAGCGTCACCCTCCACGTCTGCACGATCAATCTGTCGATATCGACGACCAAGACTACAGGGACGGCTCTCACAGACGGGCTGCTGCTTTGTCTCCCAGACGTCCGCGATCCAGAAGTCGCTCCCCAAGAGTCTTCCTGCCCCTCCCACCAATGTCGTGGGATCAACGACAGTTGAGGTACCTGTACGGGGCTTATCCACCATCCATGCCGTGGTTTACACCGGCGGCCTATTCCGATTGGGATCGCTATTCGTCCCAATCTGTTCATAGGTCGAGATCGCCCCACAAGTTGAGACCTTCAGCATCTCTGTTGCGTCCTCCTATAGTCGATCCTTCCCACTATACTCTGGAACCAAGTTGTCCTGTCAACCCTCCGGGCACTCCAACCCCGGTCATCACTGTCGTCCAAACTAAACCCATAACTTGTCAACAGGACACTTCGGTCCAAATACCACAACAAGACTCCTCTGACTTCATAGAAGAGGACTCATATACGGAGGCTTCTGAAGCTCATACCTCTCCTGACCATACATCTCCAAACCAGGATGTCACTGAGGACTTACCCATATCCCCATCCAACAACCTTACATCTTACACAGATCTAGTCAAAAGAATGGCCCACTCTTTAGGCCTCTCTGTTGTCCAGCAGCATCCACAAGCAACGGATGCAGTTTATAATATAGTTCAGTTAGATACCTCTTCCACCTTGGCATTGCCCATGTCTTCCGTCCTTCTGCAGGCAGCGAAGGCACCATGGCTAAAACCTTCATCTGCTCCTGTGTCCACAAGGCGACTGGACCATATGTACAGGGTACAGGAGGCAGATGCCGAATTCCTATTCTCACACCCTCAGCCAAACTCTATGGTAATTACATCTTCCTCCAAATCCAAGAGGATGCATTCCGCACCTTCTGACAAAGAAGGGAAGAAATTAGATGCCTTCGGCAGGCGCTTCTACTCCACGGGAGCATTGGGAGTCAAAGCGACTAACTACCTGGCCTGTATGAACAGGTATCAATACACTCTCTGCGAAAGGTTCTCAGAACTACTCAGCCACCTCCCAGACGATAAACTTCAAGCAGCCAGAGTCATACAAAAAGAAGGCATGGTGTTGGCAAAACAACAGCTCAATACTACTAAACATGTCCTCGAGGCGTCTTCTAGAACGATGGCCTCTGCAATAGCTCTCAGAAGACATTCCTGGCTCCGCAACACTAACCTACCGATAGATACTAGATCTTATGTGGAAGCCCTCCCTTTCGATGGCCTGGGGATTTTCAATGCTACCACTGATTCTACTCTACAAGAGTTAGATAAAAGCATAAAAGCTTCTCGAGCTCTAGGAGTCTCATCCTCTGCAAAACAACAATACCTTCCTCGCACCTGGTCGAGGTCCTGGCAGAGGCGTACACCAACTCATCAGTCTCCAGACACACAATGGAGACCACGAGCGTCTTCGGGAGGCTAAAAACCCGCTTTTCAGAAACCAAAATTCGGTTCAGGGCAGCAAGATTCCCGCACCAAATAGTCCAAACCCTCCAAGCAGGGTTTTTGACTTCCCTGTCACCGAGTCAGCTCCTACCCATCTGTTTCCGTTTCTTC